ATGTGCTTGACACAATGGATGTAGAGATTGTTATAAGAGCTGTAAGAGCCCCCAATGATTTTTTTTTAAACAATTTAAGAAAAATTTAGTATGTTGTTGCTTGATAATTTTATTTTTAATTTACATTTTAGTATGTGAGGCATATGCTTAAAAGTTTTAGAAAAATCTAGTCAGTACTATTACAAGTAAAATACATGGGAAAATATTTAAGATGAATTGTTTATAGGATTTCAGTAACCCTGATGGCATAGTGGTTACTTATTGGACTGCTAACCACAAGGTTAGCATTTTGAAACCCCAGCTGCTCCTTGGGAGAAAGGTGAAGCTTTCTACTACAGTAAAGAATTACAGTCTGGAAATGCACAGGGTAGTTCTACCCTGCCCTATAGCATTGCTATGAGTTGGCAGCTGCCACTGTGTATAGTTAAGAAATCCAGAGAAGTGTTCAGTATAGCTAATGCACACATGGGTTTCCATGGGTAGGAATCAACAATAATGACTAGCTTATATATTTTGCCTCTGGATAGTTGGCCCCGATTCACTCTTTGTACTTCTGTATAGTGCATATCTTTCTAGTTGTGTAGAAGTTAGGAAGACAGTAATGCAGGTAAAAGAAGTAGACATGATGACAGTATCCATAAGGGCCACCTGTGAGCCTGATAATGAAGTTCTTAACAGGAAAGCTAGAAAGCCGGTAAAATTGCTCAGAAAACATCGGAATCCCATAGCAAAAAGAGCCCACCACATCTTCAACTTCCCCAATTAAAATGACATACAAATACTATACTTACAATGATGAATCATCGTGAGATTAAGTGATAGTCTCTAAGAAGTAATTGTGTTACACCACTAATAAATACCTCAAATGGATCCGTAGGTGGTTTCCGTACTTCCCAATGTACATTTACGCTTTGAAACAAGCCTATTAGAAAACAAGCTGAGTGATGTCAGGAATTTTGCTAGTCATCTTTGTTATTTTACTCCCAGATCTTAAACAAGTACTCAATAAATGAAGACTCGAATAAATGAATCCTTGACAAAGAAAAGATCTGTATAGATCATTTGGGAAGATTGACATTAAAAATTTGAAATATATTCACTCTTCGTTCCCTTGCAGTGTTGGAACTAGATGTTCTGTGGTCTAGATGTATACATCACGTGCAGGGTTCCTTCTGGGTAAAGTTTATGGTAAAGAACTTGTTCTGGCTAATCGGAGTGCTTTATCTCTCTTTAGACACATGCCAGGACATACAAGTAGAGAAGTCCTAATCATCTTTAGCAGCCTGACAACTTGTGATCCATCCAATATCTATGATTTAGTCAAGGTAGAACCGTGCATTTCTTTTTGATCATAATCAGTTACAACTCTAAAGAGAATTGTGTAGTGAATTTAGCACAGGTTTTTAGAGCATTCTTTTTTCAAACACATTCATTCTTCATGTTTTTCTTCTCTCCCTCACCTGTCCCCTGTCCTCTGTCTACTTGGATTTGATGAAGACTCTAAAGGCAGCTAAAATTAGAGTCTCTGTCATTGGATTGTCTGCCGAAGTTCGAGTTTGCACTGTCCTTGCTCGTGAGACCGGTGGTAAATATTTAGGATCTTTAACATGTTTTCATAATTACTATGTAAAAAATAACACTGTTAATTAAACTACTCTAAGTATTGCAATGTGTTTAAGCTTTTACATTTCTACCAGTTCCTGTCCTGTAGTCAGTTTAGTATATCATTGAGTCTTTAAGATAGCCTCCTTAAATGCAAGAAAATTTTATATAACTAGAAGAGTACTATATAACTCCTGGCAAGTTAGGAATTTTAGTAAGTGAGAATGCTTCAAGGAGTTTGTTAAAAATAGCATTATCCTTTTTATTTCATTTTACTGTGAAGCTCCTTCATATATAATACTTTGTTTTAAAAAAAAACAAACATTTGGCTATAGTTAAATTGTAATTATAGTTATTCTCAGAGAAGTCACTTTAGAGATGATATTAAGTAAAGTTTTTAAAATGACAATTTAACTTAAATATCTGAAATGTACATTTTTAGATGATACATCTTTTACAGAATTACATAGAAATTATAATTTGCTCTTACATCTGGAAAGCTAATTTCTTTTCATCTTTTGTCTTATTAGGCTCATACCACGTAATTTTAGATGAAAGCCATTACAAAGAATTACTAATGCATCACGTCAGCCCTCCTCCCGCCAGCTCCAGTTCTGAATGCTCGCTTATTCGCATGGGTAAGGGCTTATTCTGTGTTCCTATAAAATGAACACTTGGCATATCTATTGTGGCTCACATTAGCCTTTCTCTGTTCATGTGCACCAGTTGATATTTTAACACGTAAGTCTTTTCCACTCCATTGTTTTTCAAAAGGAAATAAGTAATGCTAATGGAGCACTTTGGGGAACTAGAAGTGAAAAGAAAGAAAACCCACCAGGCACCGCTGACTGGAGAACACACTGTCTTCGTTTTAGTAAGGCTAGAAAGGTGGAAAGCACGTTGCTCATGGGAAAAATACCTGTGGTTATAAGAGAGGCCTTTAAAATGTTTGTTGGAAACGGAATTGAAAGATAATGGACGTTTTTCCACAAATTTTTTAAAGCTGTAAGTCCCCTTCTGCCCCACTTCCCGCCACGAACACAAAGTATGCAAAGACATGAAGCTGTACCAAATTGCTACAAGGGAGCTCTTTCTTTGAGAGGGGTTGGGGGAGTGGATAGAATAATGGGTTTGGAATCATTTGAAAAAATACTTTCATTTTCTAAGACATTTACAGCTCTCTGTCACATTAAACAAATATTGTTCTTCTGGAAACACAGGGAATCCAGGGCGGATGATCCCTTCAGGACCAGTGGTGTGAGTGGCGATACTGGGAGGGTAGAGGGAGAGTGGGTAGGAAAGAGGGAACTGATTACAAGGATCTATGTGTGACCTCCTCCCTGGGGGACGGACAACAGAAAAGTGGGTGAAGGGAGACGTCGGACAGGGCAAGATATGACAAAATAATATAATTTATAAATTATCAAGGGCTCATGAGTGAGGGGGCAGCAGGGAGGGAGGGGGGAAAAAAATAATTACCTGATGCTGGGGGCTTAAGTGGAGAGCAAATGTTTTGAGAATGACGAATATACAAATGTGCTTTACACAATTGATGTATGTATGGATTGTGATAAGAGTTGTATGAGCCCTTAATAAAACTATTTTTAAAAATGGATAAAAAAACAAATATTGTTCTTGTTGGGTTTTTTGTGTTTTTTTTCTGGTTGGTTTTTACTTCTATATATTTCATATATAGGTAATTTAAAATTTCTTATATAGTGAATTCTCTGATTATTTCTGCCTTCCCTAAACATGTTTTCATAGCTAATATGTGCCAGGAGCAAACTACATGAAAAGTTTGGATATTCCAAAAATGTAATTCTTAATAAAGGGAAGAAAACAAAAGGGTTTCCAAAAAATTTGTGGAAAACAATGAAAAGATAATGGAAACTTTCCCCACACTTTCTGAAGCCCTCTCGTATGTGAGAGAAGCTCCAGTGTGTCAGACGTACTTGAAAAATCTTAGTTTCCTCCTTTGAAAGCAGTGTGTGTGAATTGTTATTCAGTGAGAAAATGGAGGTCAGAACGGTAGACTCAGATGTCCTGTGTGTGCTCATATGTTTTCCTCTCTGCCTCACTTGCAGTTTTCTTGTCGTCTGGATTCACAATCAGTTTCAGTATAAAGTGAACATAATACATTTTCTTCTGTGCAGGATTTCCTCAGCACACCGTCGCTTCTCTGTCTGATCAAGATGCGAAACCTTCATTCAGCATGGCGTAAGCAAAGACCCTAAAATTGTGTTGTCAATTTTGCGTTTTCAATTCCTACTCAATTTATAAGTTCTTAAAATGGGCTTGTAAAATACTGCATTTACATACCTGTAAAAGGGAATGAAATCTCTGTAGACTTCTATGGACTGATCTTCAAGAGAGACTATGTAAGGGGGCTTCAGAAAATTTGTGAGGAAATTCCGCTATCTTTTAATTACATTTTAAAACAAACTTTTTGAAGCCCCCATGCAATGCAGTAGATTTAGTAGACACTTTTATAGTTCTTACATGTGTTTATATTAAATAATAAATGTAACAGTAATGGAAGTATAAAGCAAAAGTGTTTTAAAAAATAATTTCCTGAGAAAAGGGATGTGGGGACAGACAAAGATGCCAGGTATAGATTACCAATATTTCTGAATATACCTTGTTTGGAAGATTATATTTTATATAATTATAATACAAGCGTTAAATTGAAGAATGAAAGTGTAATAGGGATGAAAGTTACCCAAGACCTTAATGATCCCCCCTCCCCCCCAAAAAACCAAATACCCATACTAATATATAAAACAATAATTGTCAGACATTGGACATCAAGAAGTGCAGGAAGTGATCCCTTAAAGATGGAAGGAGATGAGTGAGGTGATTGTTCCAACCTACCCTGCTCAGAGAAGCGGTCCCCAGCAGAGCCCTGAGGTCTTGCTGAGTTGAAGAGACAGAGTTCAGAGTTTGGGGGAGGTCGCAGGGACGAGGAGTAGATTTGGGGCAGATGATGTGAGAAAAGAGTAGGGTGGAAAGAACTCTCGAGTCTGCAGAAAGTCTTCCATGAATTCTTAGCTGAGTCTTGATCAGCGCATGTGTGTGAGGAAGCTGCAACCAGAGGCCACGGAAAGAACACAGCAGTGAGCAGGTAGGACAGTCTTCAGAGCGGAATAGGGCAGGGAATGGTTCATGTTGGCACAGTGTGGAACGACCTCCTAATATAAGGAATATTGAATAGAGTCCACAATACTTGATCCCAGTTAACCCCAACAATGAGCTCGGACACAGGAACAATTGTGAAGATTGTCGTTCTGCTGTGCATTGGGTCAAAACCAACTCCACCATGACAAAATAATAATCATTTATAAATTATCAGGGGTTCATGAGGGAGGGGAGCAGGGAGGGAGGGGGAAATGAGGAGCTGATACTAAGGGCTTAAGTGGAGAGCAAATGTTTTGAGAATGATGAGGGCAACGAATGTACACATGTGCTTGACACAATGGATGGATGTGTGGATTGTGATAAGAGTTGTACGAGCCCCCAATAAAATGATTAAAAAACAAAAAGAACCAACTCCACAGCACCACCACCAACAATTGATGACAACCGAACAAAGCTTAAAAGCAAGTTTTGAGCAGATCGAAGGGTTTCATGTCATTTCCAGAATTGATTGCTGCCGTTGAGTGGATTCTGACTCAGAGTAACTCTATTAGACTGGCTAGAACTATCCCTTTGGGTTTCTGAGACTAACTCTTTACAAGAGTAGATGGCCTTTTACCCATCTTTCTCCCATGAAGCAGCGGGTGGGTTCAAACTGCTGACCTTGTGGTTAGCAGCTCAGTGCATAGCCCACTACACTACCAGGGCTTCCACGTCCCAGAATAATGCCCCCAAATATTTAAAGAGATAGAAAAAAATCCAGGACCCAGAACAGCAAAATTCTCAGTGTCTGGCAGCCAGTCAAAAGTTAGCAGGAATGCAAAGCATTAGGAAAATATGACCCTAACAAGGGGAGAGAAAATTCAGTGGGAATATGTTTGATAATATACAATTGATAGAATGAGTAGTCAGAGACATTAAGGTATGGAAGGCAGAGGAGAACATGGAACATGATAGCAAGAGATGTGGAAGGTAGAAAAACTCCAAATCAAACGTCTCAAGATGAATAAATTATCTAACATGAAAAAGAATCACTGGGTGGGATTAGCGCTGTAGGAGAAAAGATTCGTGAATAAAAACAAGAAACTTCAAAATAGAAATTCAGAGGGAAAAACACAACAAAGATTAAAAAATGAGCAGAGCCTTATCCAGATTTTAAAATCCAGGTACCGTTCTTGCTGTGCCTCTATGCTTATCTCGCTAACGGTGATTTTCTTCTTCCCACAGGCATCTAGATAGCACTTCTGAGCCAGGGCTTACGTTAGGCGGCTATTTCTGCCCGCAGTGTCGGGCAAAGTACTGTGAGCTTCCTGTTGAGTGTAAAGTCTGTGGTAAGAAGCCGTTCTTCATTATCAGTGACATTCATCTTAAATAACTTCTTACTATCTGCTGCTAAAATGAACGAAGACGTTGAGTTCTGCATGTCCGTCTAGATTTAATCTGTAAAAAGATATTTCAGTGTCTCTCTCCAGTGGGTATCAAGCCCTCTACCACCAAGAATAAATACAGATTCAAGAAGGATTTCCAGATTCCTTATCTTTACGGGAAATGTCTATTATTAAAGGCAGTGCAATGGATTTAGTAGATTTTTTTTTGTAGCCCTTACCTTTGCAAAATCAGTGTATAAGTTAGAATAAGGGAATTAAAGTGAAAGAATTAGGAAGTGTTATTTCGTCTAAGCAAATAGACTAGGAAAGATCCCCATAGTCACTTACCAACAGAAGCAAGACTCCATCCCTGGAATCTTCTTTTTTTTTTTTTTTAATTTATTTTTTTTTCTCCCTGGAATCTTCTTTTATGGGTGCAGGGAATGAATACTTGGGAACCTAAAGGAGCTTGAAATATTTAAGTCTAAGTTGTATCATTTGACCTGGGGTGTATGAGGTGGCCTAATAAGTATGTCTTTTTATGTCTTAGGCCTTACTTTGGTATCTGCTCCTCATCTGGCCCGGTCTTACCATCATTTATTTCCTTTGGATGCTTTTCAAGAAGTTTCCCTAGAAGAACATAATGGAGAAAGGTATATGACTTTTGATTAATTTATAACTTTCATAAGTGGCAAATGTTATAGAAATGTTCGAATCGCTTGTGAGCACACTAAAGGAGATTGTCATCAACTTGCATATGATTACTTCTAATTTAGAAAATTAAATATAAAATGTGTCGATTATGACTGAAGAAATTAATTATTAAAGAGATCTGGTAATTTTCTTTTTTTTAATCATTTTATTGGGAGCTCTTACACATATCGTAATGGTAATTTTCTTCAACACAACTGTGTGTCATAAGAATTGTGGTGGGCTAGGAAAAAATTCAAAACCAAGCTCACTGCCATTGAGTCAATTTTGACTCACAGCAGCCTGCAGGTCAGAGTCAGAGCCACCCCTGTGAGTCCCTGAGACTGTACAGCTCAGAGATACTGGTGTGTTTGGACTGCCAACCTTGAGGCTCGCAGTCCTGGTAAGCCAGGTTTTTTTTTAAAAAGTTGGGGGGGGGGTTGGTTTTTTTAAAACAGTTTTTGGGGGGTGTGGGAGTTGTACATAATCCACGTTATCATGATTCAGTAGTTAATAATCGTATCAAGAAGTTGAACAATCATTATTACAGTCAATTTTAGAGCATTTTCTTCTCTCTTGTACTCATTGCTATAGCTCCCCGTTTTCCTGCAACCTCCCTGGCACACCTCAAGAAACCACTAATCCAGTTACTGTCTTTATAGATTTACCTGTCCTGTATTTCATATATGGAAAACATAGAAGGGAGAAAAAACTGACAACATAAAATAGAGCAAATCCTCAATCCAAAAGAAAGAGGAAATATTAAAAACTAGAAGATCAAATGAGAAGGTGTTCAATTTGAAGCTGACTACACCTGCAATAGTCTCCTTTCTAATGCCCTGTGATCACAGTTACTCCTATCCCTGGTCTGTGGTCAGTGGGGATTCACTGTAGGCTTAATCCATGAGCATTTTCCTTTCACTTTTTTTTTTTTCTTAACTGAAACAGCTTTTGAAAGTGTCAAAAGGGAGATCAAATAAGATACTACATTTAAACCTAATTAGAATTACATACTTGTCTTTACAATGCTCTGTCTGATAATGAGGCTATTTATATCTCAACTACGGTCAGAGGACAGCC